CGACAGGTACACTACATGCCGTTAGCGCATTCAAAGCTGAACAGACAGCCAACTCACATGATAGCCAGTGCAATAGCAATGGTCGGTACTTGGGTTGGCTTGGTGCAGCCAGGATCGCTGTCGTTGGTACATGTTGCGCTGGCGCGGGCCACCAGTACACGTGAGGCTCGTTCAGCTAGTTGGATCGTCTGGCTTGCACTGCTGGGAGAGCCAACGTGGATGTCGCGGTGCACATGGTGCATGTGTTGGTGATGTGAGTGCGGCATGGCTCGAAGACCGATGTCGCATGTGAGGTCGCAATCGATAGAGCTAGTAATGGATCCGGGGAAGCTCGTCCTTGGTATTGTCGACGTGACGCTACGATGCAGGTATTAACAACGTGAAGTCGTAACTCAGTCGTGACAGCTAGCTGGCAGAATGGTATATGCGAAACTCGTTCCGGGGTAGTCGAGGAGTGAGCGGACGGCAATAGCCAAGGTGACAGCAACACAAGCAAACAAACTTCGGCCCAAAAAAGAATGACTGGGGTAAGATACGATAGAGCTGCGAAGGGTGCTGGTGGTGGTTGCAAAAAGAGCGACAGGCCCACGGAGAGGTGAGTTGAAGGAAAGAAGACGGATGGGCGCGAAGGGTAGATGAGGCGCCGCACAGGAGCCTGATCTCCGGTTCTGGCTGACAGGCCTCCTGATTGGGCGGCTGTCTCAAGCCTTGCACGGGTCAGGCCTGTTACGCCGAAGCAGAGAGTGAAGGGCCCGCGTTCGTCCCTAGGCGCAGCCACACGTTTGACCTTGAGCCGGGCCGCTGATTGCATTCACGCCCTCACCCACCGCCCGCTGCGTCCCGACGTCTTCACTGCTATCGTGTCTCTCTACACGCAATCGATAGAGCTATCGTCGTATTTTCCCAGCTGCACATCCACCCGTCAGCTGCACCCGAAACCCCTACTGGCCTGCAGCTTCAGGAGGCAGCTAGGCCGCACCGTTTATTTTGGATCGCGCCCGTGCGGACCCGCTAGCCGCAATGGGCGTCGCTACTGCAGGAACCCTTTCGTGAACTTCCGTCATTCGTCGGTTCTTCTTCAACAACAGATTGTCGACCAGGGCTCCCGTTGTGAGCTCCAGGCCACACGACCGCTCAGAAGCGCCCTGGGCCCCTGAACCATACTATGTACACGCGAACGCCCGTATCTCCACGCTGCAGTATCGTGCTACGTTCCCCGAAGCACAACAGCTCAGCGATCTTTTTTCGCTGCATAGCCACTCTCGTCCTCTGGTCGCCCAGGACCCGCAAAAACACAATCCTCCCCCTTTCCGATGCTGTGGAGCTCAAACTGGTCCAGAACAAACCCGCTCCACGCTGTCTTCATTTCCCGATCCCGCAGCGGCCGAGTGTTGGTTGTGCACGACCTGCGACGGCCTTGCGTTCTGCATGCAGGCTCCCCCGAGCCCGCTTCCGCTTAACAACCGTCATTTATCGAGATTGTGCCCTTCACCCGTCATATTTGTTCTGCTCCCCTTTTGACATGTGAAACTCTTCGCAGCTTTGTGAAACTCATAGGCATTGAATGCGCAGAATGGGGTTGCAGTCGTGCATCGCTTTTTGTACGACGACTGTTGAGGCACGAAGGAACAGCCAAATCTGCCTCACCGCCACGAGCCTCGCCCTACGAGACCCCTTCATCACTAGGGAGATTACCCGTCTTTCGCCATCAGAATCGGCTTCTGGTGTTTGATGAGCGCATGGTTACCGGCATAATGTCTAGGCCTTTACTACAGCCTCGCGTGTACGGCTTTGTTGTCGGGAGATTACTCTATGTGATGTCATGTTGGACGACAGTGCACTTGAGTAATTCATCGTTAACTTTCAATTTTGAGTCTACCTGTTAGTGAAAGGGTATATCCTCGTCGCGCACGCACACATCGAGAACGACTCTTTGCGAATCTTGAATCATGGATCGATCGACAGTGGTGTGAACTGTAACCCTAAGCGCCAGAGTGGGTTGTACGACAAGTGTCACATCTTAGACTTCGTGGCGGGCGACCTTCACCTTTCCATGCGTCCTGGGATCTACGTATTCCTGGTGGAGTATCTCGTTCTTCCATGTGCGTCCTGTTTTGATGGTAGTAGACTCGAGTCTTGCTAAGTCCCTTTCCCAGTTTCCCACATACAAATGCAGATGCTATGTGAGAATCTGGGAGCTGGACTTGCTCGATGGTCTCGACCTACGCTGGATCGTGACGTTGGAAAAGCAACGCTTAGAGTATGCGTCGCTGAATGCTTGATTTTCGGACATATGGGCGACCAACAACTACAGTCGTTGAGAATTCCAAACCCCTTGTCATTCGAAACAAACGGACGTACACCGGCACCTCGAAACGCAATCAGTGCGGGTAGGCCAAGTTCCAGTAATACCCAAAACGCGATGTCACGGAATCTTCTGCAGACTGAGCTAGACAGAGGTCGGTTTTACATAATCCTAATGGATCCGGGAATACCAGGTTGATTTTTTGCTCCATTGGTTCGGCCGTGTGCCTTCTGAGATCCATGCAAAGATTGATCCAATGCTGGACGTTTGTCTGTGAATGAAGCCTTGGATCGCCTCGACAACCACGCGCTTGCTCGAAAGATCCAAACAGGGAGGCGTGAGACCCTATATGGTGCGGAAGGATTGGAATACCAGAAAATGATTTTCGCACGCATCAACGACGGGCTCGTTTGAGAACCAAGATGCCATCATTCCATAAGGCGTAGATGTTTGTATTGTCGCGCGGCTTTTGATGTGATGAGTAAAAGTCGGTGGTGTTGGTACTGAGTGCCTCGAAGGGGATATATCGGCTTCATATGCTCCTGGGCGTTCTCTCCCTTGTCGAGACTTTGATTGTGTCATACCGTAGGCGACCATGTTCGGCAGAAGTCCAACGGGGGCTGTGATGGGTTGTACAGCGTCTGCGTAGAAGTTGTGAGATGCTCGGAAAGTGAGCCAATGTCCGCTGGATATTGGGAGCGACTCGGTTTGAAAATATAGCGGAAGCCAATTCGGTTGCATCCGGGTTTCTAGTATGTCATGACTGTAGCACCTTAGCATGTATCCTCGAGCTGATGTTATGCATGCTTTGGTGATGCAATAGCTTTGTGATGTTGATTACACGGGCAAACTCCGTCTCGCGAAGTGCAACGCAATTACTTCCTGCTCATCCGTACACGGCTAAGATCGTGTTCGCAGAACCTTTAAAGCCGTCAGAAGGAGCTCCAACGTAACAACTGATCTGTGCAGGCTCGTGGATGTGGTATACACAACTGCCGGATGTTCGAAAGAGGTGGGCTTCCTCGCGAGTCAAACCGCATGCTCTTGCTAGCACCAACGATGATGTCCGCGGACGGGTAGTGGAGGGTCCCTCATGACGAAAAAGAAAATATAGCACAGCGAGCCGTGCAGCAGTATATATGCAGCGTGACCTGGGTCACGCCGCACGACGTGGGCTTGCAAGTATGCGGCCACACAGCATTAGCGATGGAAGCCGACAGAAGCGATCGTGGGGACAGAACGTGGCTGGCTAGGAGCGGGTTTCACCGAGGAAGTACCGATTGACTATGACGCATTGGCCATTCTCCTCTCACGAGACAAATCACCATCGAACAACGAAGACGTACATGCAACACGACATTGACCTGTTACCGACTCGCTGCTCACCCCTCACACCCTCTTGCTACTTTCTTTGATTACATTCACCACCACTCCGCCCAAGCTCTGACGTTGGATCTCGATAAGGGCCCATCCCCAGCCCTGCAGCTCGCGATTCCCTTTGGTCCCTGCGCTGCGTAGCTACGCCCCACTGCCACCCCAACTTCTTAAGGGTCCGATCTCCCTACACAAGCCGCACCAGCAACATGTCGCACTTCACCAATATGGCCGCCCCGCACACGCTATCTCCCAGGAGTGCCACACCAAGCTCTGGGAGCCGAACGATGGAGGTTCGACCTCAGCCCGTATTGCGTCTGTCAGCACCTTCCGGTGTGCTTCGTCTGCGCGCAGAGCCATCAGAACGCCGACACATTCAATGGGCCGAAGACGTGGTCGACAACGAAGGCATGGGCAAGAAATCTTCCAAAGGTACGGTGATCTGCTTCGCGCGATGCTGTTATGGCAGGGGCTAACAAATCTGAAGTTTGCTGCATCTACCACAAACCCCGCGCCGCTGACGAGTCTTCTGACGACGACTCCTCAGACTCATCGTCAGACTCAGATTCCGACTCCGAGCCCGACAACAGCACGGCAAGGCCTGCTGGGCGGATGGGTGGAGCGCGCGGCAGACGGCCACATCAACATGCTCACGACGATTGTGAGGACGTCCACGATCACGGCGAGGGCTCTAGTACCCCGCAAAAGCACAAGCGCCAACGGAGGAAGCCAAGCCCAAATGCCTACGAGAAGATGCCGAAGCAGAAGAAGTAAGCTGCGCTCTAGCTGGTAAATTTCCGGTGCCCACTGGGGGTTGGTCAGTACGACTTGAAAACGATTTTCATTGCTTGGAGTTACGGGTGTCCATGAGGCACATCATGGTTTGGACTGCGTCATTGCATAGCGCTGGGAAAGGACTTGGATAGTCCGCAAAACGTCGCCTTTTGTGGCTGGACGTGAGACATTAGATGCAACTGAGCATTATCTTGTAGCATTAGAATTGCACATGCGAGGCTGAGAGCCTCAATTCCTACTAAACGCCTTCTCATCCTCCTTGTCTCTGGTTGGTACAATCTTCACCGTTCTTCCATGTACACGCTGTTCTGCAGGTGTGAAACCAATCGCAGAAGACGTTGGGCCCCGCTGCATGTATCTCTCATGGCAAGACGTCTTTACTCGCTATGTCCTGCGGATCAAAGTACGAAGACATGCGCGTTCAGCCGATCACGCGTCGATTATCGCCCTTGTCGTCCGCCCTTACTCGTAGAGTTTCCAGCAGCGCGAAAACTCAATCAGGTGTTAACCCACGTGTCAGGACCGCTCAGTCCTCTGCAGTAGCTGCATTCGCCTGTTCTATCACCGCAGGAGCGTGTTGTGTAGGAATGCGGACAAGCGTCTGGGGCAGTGGTGGCCCATCTTCTGCCTTCTTTTCCGTCTCATCCTCGTCTTTCGGTTTCGGAAGTTTTGCTTTTTCGGATTAGTGCTTGCGGAATTTGTGAGAATGGAGAACATACTTGACGCCATGTTTATAGCTCTTAGCACATTATGCCAGTTTGATAGCACTGCGGCGACCGCTGATCAACCGCAATATTAGTATGATGTTCCTATTGTGCCGGCTGGAGGATCTGTAGATCCAGCTTTCTGCGTGCAACGCCTGACATACCTTCTGTTCCATCTGACAATGTCGATAGCTTGTCAGCGAGCATCTGCATCTGGTCTGCAAGCCCTCCGCTTAGCGCTTGCAGGTCCTTCAAGTTGGCTAATTCGGCTTTCTTTTCTGCAATGCGCGCAAGCAACACAGGGGATTGTTGCTGAGACCCGCCCATGGACTGGTTGCGGAGATGTGAGGGAAGAGGCCGTGTGAAGTTCGACATATTTCTCGATCGATCGACTGTAGTTGACGTAGTCAGGTTTGTGGTTGACGAAGTCGAGATCGGAAATAGTTGGCAGGTGGTTTTGCTTGTGTAGATGCGTCAACAGGAGGGAAGCCTGGCCTGGATGAGCACCTGAAAACTGATATGTTGAGTTTATCCGTTTTTTCGTCTTGTGAGATGCGTATGCTATCACCATATCAAATGCTGCGCTGCTGCATTGGTGAACGCGTTGGTGCCCCTCTCGTCACGTGGACGCGCTCTTGGCGCTAACCCGTCTGAACTTAGCTTTGTTGCTATGTAAACATGCAATGACGAACACAGAAGGAACACCTACCGACGCCCTAGAGTAGCAACGCCACGACAACTGCGCGACCGTCTACAACACTATAATTAATCTCGACATACCTATCTGCGCATATGGCGCGTCTCAACGAGCCGCCGATTGCACCCCAGCCGTCGGCGGAATCCATCGAAGCCCTCAAACGACGCTTTTTGAGGCAAAACCGCGAACTCGCAAAGACGAATTCGATCCAATCTATCCGCATCCGCAGCCTCGAAACCGACTGCTCGCGACTTCTTGCCGAGAATTTGGCATTGCGCGAGCAAGTCTTGAATCTCCATAACACGATTGAGTCGCGTCCGGTACTCGACCAATTTGATGTTGTCAAAACACAGCTTGAAGCCAAGCTATCAGAGCTCAGCAGCCTGGTAGCTGGCCTATCGCAAACAAGAAGTGGGAGTGGGAAAGACAGAGGAAGACGGAAAAGCCAGATGACTGCGAAGAGGAAGAGCGGAGAAGAGCGGCAATGGAGGAGTGGACTGGGTCTACAGGAGGTTGAGAACGCCATGCTGCCTACTATCACGGAAGACAAGTACTATCCTCGCAGGACAATGGGGTACGTCTGGATCGCGTTCCAAGCAGCGACACGTACAGACGCGCATGAAGCTAACTTCTTGTAGTGCGGACGAGCTTCAGCAGACCTTAGAAGACCCAGACAGTCAATCCCCAGACATTGGCCCTCCGCCAGTTGCCCGATTCGAAGACGAAGACCCCATCGGTTTCGACCCCAGCCCCGCGATAGAAGAACAGCGAGAAGAAGCTGCAGACGACGGTGAACCTGCACTATCGGTGAACCTCGAGACGCGTAAGAAGCGACGCGAGAGCGGGCCCAAGCTCAACATACGTCGTGTATCTCTCTTCGAATCACCGGAAGAGTCTGAAGAGCCAGTCGCGAAGCCTCTGCGCACTGGGGCCAAGCGGAAGTTCAGCGTTCAAGAGGATGAGGAAGTGAACCAAGCCAAGAGTGATGCTTTCAGGTTCAGCCGCCGGAATGCCCCAGGTGCTTCGGACGTGGAGGCGTCAAATGATGACTCTAGACCTTCTGCACTAGAACGCCCTCCCGTCCTTTCAGCTAGTAAGTACCCCCAAAGCAATAATGTGTACAAATCTGACTTGGTAGAACCCGTCAATACCGATCCAGTCTTGTCGCCAAAGAAGCAACGTTCTTCAGGTCAAGACAAACCAGATAAGCCAGACAAGCCAGGACCTAAGGCTCGCAGCCGCCCTCGATTGAATATCACGCGCAACACGACGTCAGAACTCCCGCTTCTCCCAATGCCTGAACCTGTGCCTACTGCTGAGATTGTGCTTGACTCTCTACCCCCGAAAACACCCGCCGTGGAAGAGACCTTTTCTCCACCATCTACAGAGCCGTCGACACAACGACCAGACAACAAGGATACACCACCACCAGGGGATCTCAACTCAGTAGATCAGACCGGTCAAGCCGGACGACCGGGTAGACGAGCCCGTCCCCAAGTCAGTTACAAAGAGCCCAGTCTCAATGTGAAGATGCGGCGTCCAGACGCCAAGCTGGTCGACGCGGTGATCGATCGCAGGGCCAGTGTAGATACTCAGAATGTACCTTCTACATTGGTCAAACGGGACGCCGATGGCGAAATCGCGTGGAAGCCGGTATCGGCAGTCACTCAACCGAGGGGTGAGGAAGAAGCTGAAGCTGGAAGCCCGTTGAGACAGAAGCTTGACCGGAACCAAGATTCCAAAGCATCGCCCGCGTCAATGGCTGAGCCAGAAGAACGATCAACGACCTCGAAAGCCATATCCGCGCTCATTACCGAGACTAGCACTGCTAAGAGAAGAGTGGCTACTTCAACTGCAGGACCAGTGTCGGAGCCTCTCACCGCCAAATCTGCAGATCTTGCCCTCTCAAGCAAAGATACGATAGCTGTGAGACAAGCACCACCAGAGAAGGACACTTTGGCTGTATTCGACTTCACGGACTCGTCGCCTGCTGACACTGGGTCCAACCCACGTGCCCGCGTCAACGAACTTGCCAAAACAGCGAGAAGCGCACGGCGACACTCCGCTATGCCTACATCTTCCTCGTCATCGGTGTCGGACGAGCGCAGAGCTGAAAGGGAGAAGACTGAGGGCGCGCTCCCTTCTTTGCATAAGCGCACTGGCAGCGGAAATGTGAAAAGTAGTAGTAGTACGAGCTTAGCGAGAAGCAACAGTACTAATGGTATTGCTAGGAGTACGTCGAGTGCTCGAACGACAGTAAAAGACAAGAAGCCTCCCACTGTAGGAAGCTTACCAGCCAATGCCAGCACGAACGACCTCGGGACGAAGGTCGATGGTGTGGAGGACGCAAAAGTACGGGATAGAGAGAGGGAGACGAGCACGCTGAGAGCCGAACGCGCCGCTAGTCGACGGAAAAGTATGATGCTTTAGGGATAAGTGCAGAGTGCAATGTAGACATGGAGGCGTTTTTCTGGTGTATTGGCGTTCTGGGGGGCATGACATGAGCCCTTTCTCCATAGCGGCGGCGTTTCTTTGCGAATGATACCTGATCTCACGAGATCGTCCCTGGTTTAGTGTAATCGGATCGCCTTATGATTATTATGAAGTCTGATGTAATGTTGCATTCTACAAATCTTTACCTTGTTGTTCTTGATGGCATGGTCTTTACACATTTGTGATTCACAATGTTGCCTCTTCAAAGAGATTCCTCATGGGTCGTTCTTGTGTGAGTATGCATCATCGACTGCGTATGAGGTTACCCTCACCGCTGAAGTTAGTGGGGACATGGCCATGGAAGAGCCCTCATGTTAGCAAATTACACGCTGACAAGACGGGATGATCCTGGTGATGTAAGTGATTGTATTGGTGTACGATATATGTGTCCTCCTCCAAACACACCTCTTGACCTCCCTCGACATGACGAAACGAGTGTCCAGTCCCTTTGCTCGAAGCAGTCTCTCTCTGAGTGCCACATCTAACGGTTCCTGTCCTCGTACCAATCCTTGCTACCATTGTTGCTGAAGACCCTCTTGAAGCCCTTTGAAACAGCGTCAGTGACGCTAAAGTCGTTGAAGAGCCACTGGTTGCTGTGTCGGCCATAGTACTTGAACTCCTTGGCTTCCTCGCTCTTCGCACTCCTGCCGCTGCCAACGCTGCTTTGGGTGTTCCTGCGGCTGCGCTTGTGAACGCGCGGCTTGCTGAACTCGCCTGGCGCGACGCCGACACTTTCAGCGTGCGTCTTGGAGCTGGGCTCAGCATGCATGATGCGGAGACCAGAGTACTGCGAGTACTGAGAGTCATTGGTGCCCGTTGTGGACGTTGTTGCTGACTTGGTGAAACGGGGCATGATGCCGCTGTCAATAGAGGTGGATCGGGGACGTCGCTGGGACAGAACTGAATCGGAGGCGGTATCTCCATTGGTTTTGGTGGTGGAGTTGTTGTTGTTGGATTTGTTTTCGAACGAGGCAAGCCTTGAAGTCAAGTCTTGTGCGTCGATGCGTTGGTTGTTGTAGTCAGTCATCGGCAGGATGGTCGGGGACTGAGTGGTAAAGGTGATGACGTTGGGGTCTTGGTTGATAGTGGAGTGTGTTTGATAGTCTCGAATCTTGTCTGACTTTGATGTTGAGGCTATTGGTTTGGAACTGATGCTCGTAGGTGGTGTTCCCATCGATTGTGGCAGTGTATGCTAGGGGTATCACTCGAGTATATATGCTTTCTCTCAGAGCACGCCAAGACTACGTCCTTCACCTCAAAATGCAGTCAAGACTTATTCCCGCTCCCAAGCCTCTTGGGTGGAGTCACGGGCTCGACGTAGGGGAAGTCGGCTCGGCACAAACGTCTATCTTGGCCCAACCATAAGCTTCATCCAACGCTAATAACCCACTTTATCCTGCAGTGTTCTCAGTCTCGTTCGGTTAAACGCTATCCTACGCCAAATACGAGAACACATGACCTCTAACCCTTGCGCGTAACGGTCAGCCTTACGGCTGTATCGGCACGCAAAGAGACCGTGCTCTAGCCACAGCAAGCCACACCCAATCCCCGGTTCAGTAGCAACACATTATGCAAGGCCGCGAATGCATGCTCCTGCAGCATGACATCGTTTTTACTAGCCACGGCTGGGCGAGACTCCGATCTTTCCGGCTAGCCACTTAGAGATCTAGCTGTGGCTGCAAGCTGTGGCTCGTGAAGAATTCAACTGGAAGTCTCGGCCTTGCGGCCTGAAGAGTTGAGCCGCAAGAGTCGGTCAAGCCACACGACGTTGAAGGGCCCTCAAAGTGGACACTAGCTGGATTGAAATGCTCATTAGATTCGTCAGGAATTGAATACGTTGCCGGTGTTCCACGCTGTAGCCGAAAAGAAGCTGTAGTCTTCGGTGACAGATGACATCGACGAACGTCAATAAATGCAAGAGCTGAGCGCTGATGTACCTCGAGCGCAAGAATTAACTTTTGATAAGATGCCCCGAAACATTGGGCACATCTCGAGCAGTCGCCGAAGATGTGCTCTCCGTGGTCGCTATCAGGTTCAGACGCGCGTCAGGATGCGTGGAGGTTGACGTGCAGAAGGAGACAAGGAAAGAGCCTGCAGCTAAAGCTACTAGGTTGTGGACTTGGAAGGACCATGAGGCGCTAAATAATTTTAAGCATAGCATAACAAGAGTAGGAAGCTGCGTCTG